ACTAGATGATTAGCAACACGTAGGCAACGTTCGCAACGGTTTCTGACTTGGCATTGTTGACGTCTTTCCGATAGGGTTCTGTATTGTGTACATGCCGATGGCCAATGGTCTCCACTACAGAAGGTGCAGTTATTGCTTTTTTGCATACGTCTCTCGTCTTGTGGGGAAGGATCTCGACGCTGTTCTGCCGAAGCGTCACGGCGCGGGGGCTGTTGGTGACGTTCCGCATGGTTCCAGTTTTGGATAGTATTAGTGAGTTGTTGAGTACTTCTTTCGAGCTGGAGGATGCGTTGTTCCATTCTTCGTAGTAATTCCTAAAGTAATAGTTGGCAAGTATTATTATGAAGAAGTACTAGTGGTGAGGTACCTTGTCTACGCATTTTTTGTGTCGTTTCGCCTGGGGTTCCTTGTCTGTAGTGTCCCCGTTTGGACGTTTCTTAAATAAAAGAAGGGTATTAAGGGATGAAAGTAGTAAGTTTATGTGAAATGATTCACCTGGTTGACGGCCACTGTTTCAGTTAGAGTGGAAATGGCCGAGTGAAGAGCACTAAGCTCTTCAGCAACGTTACGTTGAGGTATAGGTTGTGCTTCAGCAGGGATGTCGTTGTTGTAAAATGTACCTTCTTCTTCGTCTTCTTGGGGTTGGTAATCGGCGTCGTCAAGACCTTCGGAGGATTGTTCATAGTGGTGAAGAGGATTTTCCGACATGTCTGGAAATGTATTCGTATGTGGAGCGGAATACCGAAGGGATACGCAAAGGATCGAATATATTATTATTCTGAGAGGGATACTTGAGAGAGCATATAGTAGTAAACGGTACAATAAGCGAATGAGCCTTGATCCAAGGTGAACGTATTTATAGCGTTCGAGGGGGGGGGGTGGGGTCAGGAGTCAAAAAAAAACCAAGGGGGCGGGCCGGGGTATCGATCAGAGGCCATGGATAGAGTTGAGCCGGTAGATGGCGGAGCTTAGGTACCGTGTTGGTGAGGTAGCGAGAAGAATAGTGACAATTGCAACGCGTAGTAATGTGGTCAAAGGGATGATTTGTAAAGGGTCTGTAGTGGCTGTGATGTTATGAAGGTATGTTGTACCGGAAGTGAAAGGAAGATATCTTTTTTATAGGATATTTATTAGTATCAAGTGAGTGAGTGTAAGGAACAGTGGTATTAATAATAGTTAAAAAAGGTACAATGTATGACGGGCCTAGGTATATCACTGAAGTATGTTCAAAAGTGGGGGTGCGTCATGAAAGGTGCGCCGTTATGTCTTTAATTTTCTCGGTGGCGTCTAGTTTCATGCTGAAGGAGCAGAGTAAGCGATGCGAAATACGACATCTCGAGTTGTGTCAGACGATTATCTAGGTACTGTTGATATTGGTTTAGGTTGAATAATTGTTGTTGATGTGTGTTGAGCTGGGCGTAGATGCGGTTCAAATCGTCCTGTACTGAGGTTGTAGAAGGGTAGGGTGGCACTGGATGGTTGGGTGGCATTGGATGATTGTCAGTCATATCTAAATGAGTGTAATGAGTGGTGAGGTAGTCAATCACGGAATCGTAAGGGACGAGCAAAACGTAAAGTGAAAAAGATGACGGAATACAATGAGAAAGATATTGTTTCTAATGTGGAA